AGCAGAGAACAGCAGAGTGAAGGGGCTCAAAGCAGGCAGCATCAGAGATTCGGTTCTCAGCACCAGGCTTGGTTGGCGGGCCGCCTTGGGGAACCAACAGGCAGGGAGTCTCAGGGTGGTAGAGCAGGACTGGAGGGAACACACAGCACGAACACACACACACACCACTACTCAGCGCAACACACAGAGAAACAACATTATGTACAAGAGGGGGAAAAATAAAATAAAAAAAGCAAAACTAAACAAACGTAAATGGGAAATATCCAAGTAGGGAACCAAGGGGGTACCAACTGGGCAGACTTAAAGGGAGCAGGCATAACGTAGCCATGCAGCACAGGAGAGGGGGTGGGGAGGGTGGGAATAAATCTAGTGTTGTAGCCTGGCAGGGCAGAGTGGAAGGCTGCCGGTGGGGTGGGAGAACCGCAAGTGTTTGGTTTAGAAGACGGCGCTGGACAGATGGAAGTAGTGTATCTGCGGGTATTGACTGGCTTGACCAATGATGGCTTAAAAATCGTGGAGTAGGGCAGGGTGCTTTCCACTGCTTGGGGAGCAGGAATGGCCTTAGCATTGGAAGTAGGCTCTTGGTTGAGAATGGGTTTAGAAGTTAACTCGGAGGACATGACTCCACTGATAGGGAAAAGACTGACCGAGTGAGTGGAGGATTCTGGCAGGTCTTGGATTGGCTCTGGAACGGATTTTGGATCTAGGATTGGCTCTGGAACAGACTCTGGAACTGGCTCTAAGGACTCTGGCTGCTTCTGGACTGAGACTGGTTCTGGAATGATCTCTGGCTGTTCCTGGACTGGGACTTGCCCTGAAGTCCACTCTGGGATGGACCTTGGTGATTCCGGGACTGGGACAAGCTCTAGAGTAAACTCTCGGAGTGGAGCCAAGTCTGGGACTGCCGTGGACACCAAGACTGATTCTAAAGACTGGAGGACTGGAGCGGATTCTGAGCCTGTGAGACCTGGCCGCTCGGGAATGGCCTCTGTGTCAGAGGCAGAAACAGTGGCCTGCTTCAAACTGGCATCCATGGCCTGGCCAGTGACAGCGGGCTGCTTGAGGATGGCCTCACTGGCCATAACGGGAAGGACAAGCAGCTCAGTGATGATGTTCGTGGGCATGGCATGACTGGCTGGACTGGGCTCTGTGGGCATGACATGACTTGCAGGAATAGCTTCTCTGGGCAAAACAGGAGGTTCAGACACCGTCACCTTAGTCACAGGACAAAATGACTGCTCAGAGATGGTCTCTGTGGCCTTGACAGATGGTGCAGATGACTCTGGGATTGCCTCTGTGGTTGTGACAAGACTAACAGAGACAGCCTCTTGACCTGGAACGGAGTCTAGTACAGGCTCCAGGGCTGAAACAGGAAT